CAAAAAGTGCTAATAATTTGACACTGCTCCCTAAGCCCCACCAATTGAAAATGTCCTAATATTGAAAGGTAGGGACAGTGCAGATAACTGATTTTTCTTTCACCTACTCTCTTCTTACTAATTGTTACTTCTCACATAGCTACTGTGTGCATAATTTGTAGTGGGTTTGCATTGTTCTTTTCTTTTTTTTTTTTTTTTGAGACAAAGTCTCGCTCTGTTGCCCAGGCTGGAGTATGGTGGCGAGATTTCAGCTCACTGCAGCCTTTGCCTCCAAGATTCAAGTGATTCTCCTGCCTCTGCCTCCTGAGTAACTGGGATTACAGGCACACACCACCATGCCCAGCTAATTTTTGTATTTTTAGTAGAAATGGGGTTTCACCATGTTGGCCAGGATGATCTCCATCTCTTGACCTCGTGATCCATTTGCCCACCTCTACCTCCCAAAGCACTGGGATTATAGTTGTGAGCCACCGAGCCTGGCCTGCATTGTTCTTATTCAGACTAGACTCAGTTTAAGGCAAGATAAGCTCTTTAATCATATGATAATAATACTTAGCCTTCAATTAGTGATGCAAACAAGGGGGTAAATAGTGTCAACAGCAGCGAGCAGAGCAGCTCAGTGCTGAAAGGAATCCATAGGCCTGAGCCCAGATAGTGCCTGAGTGGCCTCAGACAGCTGTGGGAACAGCAGAGCCCAGCACTCCTGGTACTAATCTGCCTGTGCCCAGCAGAGGGGTGAAGAGGCAGAACAGCCCTGTAGGAGGTGCTCTGGCCTTTTCCTCTGGAGCAGTTGCTTCCTCTTTCTTGGATAACCCTCATGTTTCTGATTGTGCTAACTTCTTTTTTCAACTGACAAAATCTCAAAGATTGATGATGGCAAATTCTAACTCGATTACCTGCTTGCTAAAGCTTAGAAGAATATGCTGTCTTCCCACTTTTCTTGGTAGGTGGAGGTGAAGTTTCCTGATCATAAGAGCTCAGGCCCTCCAGACGTGAGTTCTAAAGCTTCCATTTCGTTGGCTCAGGATCAAAGAAAATCCTGATAATGATAGTGATAACGTGCAACTTCAAGTCATCAGACATTTATTAAGCACCTAGTATGTGGTACAGCAGGAAAAGCATTAAAAGTTCAAGTACTAAGAGTGTACCTACTATGTGTTCAGTACTCTGCTAAATAACAGTAACTAGAACAACAACAATAACTAAGAATTATAAGTGCTTATATGGTGCTAGGAACTGTACCAAGCAATTTAGTTATTTTTATAATTCCCATTTTTCACAGGAGACTGAGGCAAGAGAGGTTAAATAACTTGCCTATGTAAACAAACTAGAATAAGGGTTTCCCATTTCACCTAGAGGTGAGATGACTTTCCAAAGGTCACACAGCAAGTGAAAAGTGGAGCCAGGCAATCTAGCCCCATGACCCCACACTTGACCTTTAAACAGGTTAAACGTAAATGAAGATAATGATATATACTTTCAGAACTTTTTACATTTGTTAAATAATCCACGTGCTATGTCTAGCACAGTGCTTGGTAAACATGATCATTATTAGGAATTCATTCATCCAAGTGCATAATCACTCAGTATGCACTGGTACAGCCACCGCAGTTGTAAAATACTGAAATGTGTCCATGTCAGTTGATAGAACCTCTGCCCCTAGGCCTGTGAGTAGCGCCCTTACTGGCCACGCAGCCCCTCTTGCAGAAGCTCTCCAAACCCCCAGGATTGTAAGGGCCTCCAGGACCCTATTCTGATGGCTAGTGCCTGTGCTGCACCAGTTTTCATTTTCTGCACCAGTATTTTCACCATATCCTGACTACAAATATGAGCTGGGCTCCTGCCTTCAATGAGGGCATAGTCTGGGAGGGACACTGGGCATGACAGGAGAAAGTGACAAGGACAGTGATGGAGCGTGCTGAGCACAGCGATGGATGAGGGAACAGCTCCGCTTAGGCAGGTCAGAAAGGATTCATGGGAGGCAAGAGAATGGCGTGATCAATAACCTGACCAGGTGGGTGAGTGGGGGCATCCCAGATCATCACTAAAGTTCTTTTGTCTCTCAGTTTTTTCATTCTTTTCTTTTCTTTTTTGAGATGGAGTCTCGCTCTCTCGCCAGGCTGGAGTGTGATGACACGATCTTGGCCCACTACATCCTCTACCTGCTGGGTTCTAGCAATTCTCCTGCCTCAGCCTCCCAAGTAGCTGGGACAACAGGTGCGTGCCACCATGCCCGGTTAATTTTTTGTATTTTTAGTAGAGACGGGGTTTCACCATGCTGGCCAGGCTGGTCTTGAATGCCTGACCTCGTGATCTGCCTGCCTCGGCCTCCCAAAGTGCTGGGATTACAGGTGTGAGCCACCCCGCCCTGCCAGTTTCTTTATTCTTGTTGTCTCCACCTAGTTCAACTCTTTACAACCCTTTGCCTAAATTCCCACAAGAGCTTTACATGTGCTCTTCTATGCACCAACTGTTGTAGAATCTATTCTGTGGTTCCCTTAGGGAACAACCATTAGTGAGGTCCCTGTGGTCCTGTCTCCTCACTGAGGCACCCACAACTCACTATCATGCAGCTCTGGCCTCTGTTTCTAGCCTTTCCCACTTGCTTTTGGGCAGGTGCCCAGAACACCTGCAAAATAAGATGTTTCCTACACCGGGCTCTGTCGCTCCTGCTGCTTGGAACTTGTGGATCCTACCTCAGAGGCTTTCAGCACCCTCTTGAGACACAACATTTTTGGTGAAGCTTTCTCCCATCTTTATTCCTTTCTTCTCCCACCCTGAGGGAGTATGTGGAGCAGTGCGTTCTGAGAACTAGCAAACATGGATAGCCTACGATACGCCAGGTGCTGTTCTATGAGCTGTGAGCTTTGCATGTGCTGCCTTGTTCTATCCTCACAAAAACTCTAAGAGGTAGGCATTATCATTGTCTTTATTTTTATTGTATTTATTTTTTTGAGACAGTTTTGCTCTGTCACCAAGCAGAAGTGCAGTGGCGCAATCTTGACTCACTGCAACCTCCGCCTCCCAGGTTCAAGCAATTCTCCTGCCTCAGCCTCCTGAGTAGCTGGGCTAATTTTCTGTATTTTAGTAGAGACAGAGTGTCACCATGTTGGCCAGTATGGTCTCGATCTCCTGACCTTGTGATCCACCTGTCTTGGCCTCCGAATGTGCTGGGATTACAGGCATGAGCCACTGCACCTGACCTTTATTTTATTTATTTATTTTTGAGACAGAGTCTCACTCTGTTGCCCAGCTGGAGTACAGTGGCACGAGCTCGGCTCACTGCAACTTCTGCCTCCTGGGTTCAAGCCATTCGCCTGCCTCAGCCTCCTGGGTAGCTGGAATTATAGTCGCCTGCCACCACACCCGGCTAATTTTTGTACTTTTTTTTAGTAGAGATGGGGTTTCACCATATTGGCCAGGCTGGTCTTAAACTCCTGACCTCAAGTGATTCGCCACCTCAGCCTTTCAAAGTGCTAGGATTACAGGCATGTGCCACTAGGCACAGCTGATTATCTTTATTTTTTAATAAAAAAGACGGCAGCACAGTGAAGTGAAATAATTTTCCAGAAGTCATGCAGCAAGTGAAAGGCAAAGCTGGGATTCCAACCCAGGGAGACTGCCTCCACAGTCCGTGCTCTTAACCATTGCTTCATAGTGACCAATAACTTGCAAAGAAGAGAAAAGAGAAGAGAAAAATTCTTGCATTTTTACTCAATATATGCTACTTGGTTTTGTAATTATTTGTGACATTATTTTATCTCTTTCTCTATGTGAGCTGAAAATTCCTAGAGGGAAGGAACTCGGGGGTCTCAGAGCCTGCTGCCTCAGTTACCATCAATTGTGGGCACATCACATCCCCTGGAGATTATGAATTGGTCATGATCAAGCCCACTCTTCACTGGTATTCTTCCTAAATAAATTCATTGCTTGGTCAACCCCTAGGGCAGGATCAGGCCCAGGGTTCCACATAGACTCCAAGAAAGCAGTGCTTAGTTTCCTCATTCAGATTGTGGCTGAGAGTCGTCATTTATATTCCGTATAATAAAGCAGATGTGTATGTGACTTCCCCCTTTCAGCAGTGGAGACACTGAAGTGGCCTGAGATCCTCAGGCAGGTCTGTGGTGGAGTTTGCTGGAACTAACTGGAACTGACTCCATGTTTCCAGTCCAGGACTCTGAGCAACCCTGTGGCAATTGTGCCCTAATACACTTATAAGGACCAGTAGATGGACTAAGTTGTTGACAGACCAGAAAATTCTGGAACTCCCTTGCCCTATATTTTTACCTTAACACAAAATGAAATTATGACGTCATCATGGGAACACAGGACTTCTCTCTTTGTATTTTCAGAACTTGCTCGATTTTTCCAAGGGTAGACTGGTCAGTCCTTGTAATGGAAAAAAAAAAAAATCATTGTGGAGAACTTGTAACATCTTCCACCTAACCTGTTTGATAACTGGCTTTGTTCTAGAATCTGGAGAACAAAGTGAAAGATGCCAGCTTTAGACGACAACCAATAACTTTGTATCTAGACACAATTCCTTGATAAGCCAAAAACCTAGCCCAAAACTTTTAGAATTCCCCTTTTCTTTAGGGTTAGAACTGACAGCTTCTAAGAGTGTATGTGACTCTATCAGGGAAAGCGGCTCATCCAAAAATAATAACGGCCAAATAAATACCTTGCAGTAATGCTATTCGTTATCCAGAAGTGTCCTACGCCGCGTATAGCCACCATCTCTATTTTAGGGTTGAGGGGGATGGCTTACAGGTGTGACTGGCCTGGAAACCGCGGCGTGGCTGGTGAGGGCGGAGTCGATCAGGGAAGGATCAGGACTCTATGGCAGAGCAGAGTCCACCACCACGCTCGGATGAAAGTTCGAAGATTTTGTTCGCTTTGTTTCTGGCAAGCTATCACACCAGCCAGAGTCTGTAACTCCAAACAGTAGCGCCCACGAGCACAGCCCCCGACCCGCACTGCCCCCGGCCCGGGTCGGCGGCCGCACACCGTCGCCCCCTTTAAGAGCCTGCTCCGCGGGACTAACGTTCGAACGGGCCCTGGCGCCCCTCCTCGGGCTCCGATTGGTCGTGCGCGGCGCACGAGGGCGCGCCGGCCAGCCCCGGAACGGCTGGCGGCCCTTCGTGATTGGCGGTCGCGGAGTCTATATAAGGCGCGGGGCTGCCGGGCTGCCCTGTTTAGCGACCAGACCCGAAGCTGGGCGCTTGTCTGGTGTGGCGAGGCCAGCGGGGCAGCGCGCGCCTCACCAGAGTCGTTTCTCTTCGGAGTCTTAGGCGATCGAGGGTGTGCCCAGGGGCGGACTTGTTTGTGTTTCCCGTTCCCTCCCAGCTTCCGAACGTGACACCCCGTCACCCCGGCGCTGGCGGCCGTGTGCAGGGGAGGCAGGATGGAGTTCAAGCTGGAGGCTCACCGCATCGTCAGCATCTCCCTGGGCAAGATCTACAACTCGCGGGTCCAGCGCGGCGGCATCAAGCTGCATAAGAACCTCCTGGTCTCGCTGGTGCTGCGCAGCGCCCGCCAAGTCTACCTGAGCGACCCGTGCCCCGGCCTCTACCTGGCAGGTCCCGCGGGGACCCCAGCGCCGCCGCCGCAGCAGCCCGGGGAGCCGGCGGCCGGGCCACCCGCTGGCTGGGGAGAGCCGCCCCCGCCCGCCGCCCGTGCCTCCTGGCCGGAGACCGAGCCGCAGCCGGAGCGCTCCGCGGTCTCAGAGGCGCCGCGGGTAGGGGACGCGGTGCCGGCGGCCACGGTGACCGGAGTCGGGGACGTTCCTCAGGGCGGAGAGGCGGACGCGGCGGAAGCTGCCTGGAACCGCGTGGACGGGCCTCGCCAGGCGGCGGCCGGAGAAGCCGAGGGTCCCGCCGGAGGCTGGGGTGTCTTCCCCTTGGGGTCTCGTGCCTCTCGCCGCCCCTGCGGCTGCCCCCTAGGCGGGCAGGACCCGCCGGGTACGCCGGCCGCAACCCCCCGCGCTGCCTGCTGCTGTGCGCCGCGACCCGCCGAGGACGAGCCTCCCGCGCCGCCCGCCGTGTGCCCCAGGAAGCGCGGCGCGGCGGGGGTGGGCGGCAGCCCAGCGAGCTGCCCGGCGCCCGGCTCGACCCCGCTTAAGAAGCCCCGCCGGAACCTGGAGCAGCCTGCGAGCGGGGGAGAGGACGACGACGCTGAGGAGATGGAGACCGGGAACGTGGCTAACCTCATCAGCATCTTCGGTTCCAGCTTCTCGGGACTCCTACGGAAAAGCCCCGGGGGCGGCCGGGAGGAAGAGGAGGGAGAGGAGACCGGTCCGGAAGCCGCCGAGCCCGGGCAGATCTGCTGCGATAAGCCGGTGCTGAGAGACATGAACCCCTGGAGCACAGCCATCGTGGCCTTCTGAGCCCCTGCCTCCGTGTGGGGAGGAGGTTGAGCAGCGGGCGTCCCCGAAGTGAGGGTCGGGACCCTCCCGGCTGCGAGGACGCCCAGAGACCGCAGGCGCTGAGCGCGTTGGGCAGACTGGTCGCCGCCGGGCATCGCAAACTGCCCCCGGGCGCGGGGGCCCTGCCGGCCCGGGACTCTCGAGGCTTATCTGGAGACCAGGGAGCTTGAGGCTCATTGGAAGAGGACGATCGTTAACTTTTGTGTTTGTGTATGTCAGTGTGTGTTAAGTTTGTCTTGTGGCATTGAGACTATTTTGTCCTTCTGGAATGCGCCACTCCTTCCCCGGGGCTTACGAGACTGGGGGCAGACAGGGACTTTCCTCTGCCTACAGCGTGGAGAAGGAAGCGGCTAAAAGGTTCGGGCCGGGGAGTTCCCCATTCGTTCTCCGGAGAGGGAGGGACTTTACACCCACCCCTCACCGGAAAGCTAGACCCGCTTCAGGGCCAGGAGTGGCGTTTCCGCACAGGATTTCCTAAGACGAGAGGGATTTTAGCCACGAGCACCGACTTGAATTCCCTCCCTCCCTCCCCACTTTTCTTTGCCAATGAAGAAACGCTTATGTCCTGTGATTACTTTAGGAAAGGGGAATATTAACAGCCCTTCGCTTCCCCGCAGGGGAGAAAAAGCTTGACGAACTTCACAGAAGAGTTCAAGCTTGGAAATACGGAGTTTATAGAGAAAAGATATATTTTTAAAAGCTCTAGGTCCGAACTACTACACAGTGCTTTTAAAAAGTGTTTAATGAAAGTTTACAGACAGAAGCCCTAAGTGAAAAGACCTTATGGTTTTGTAGATAAGGTGACTCCAGTCTTTGTTGTATAAAGGTTGGGGGAGCTGATAAGGTTTTTGTACAGTATTTTCTCCTTCGTTGTATTGATTTTTGTATAAAAATGTAACTTCTACGTGTCTAACACGTATTAAATATTTTGAAGCAACGTAACTGCCTCCTTGTCTGTAATAACCTGCCTGGGTTGGGAGGGAAGAGGGAGGAGGGAAACCAGGGCCTGTGCTAGAAAATTGAAGGTGTGGTTCTTGGTATCAGTCATTCGCAGACTGAGGACATTGTTTACTGACTCCACTAAGTATCAAGAGAGACACGTTTAATTTTTTCTCCTAGATCAGAGGACTGCTATCAGCGACCTTGCCAGGTTCTTGAAACCTGCCACTACAACTGCCTTTTGTAAGGTCAGTTTAGGCCAATTTGACTGTCACCCAATACGTGGGTGTCCATTTTATTAAGTAATTTAAGCACCAACTTTTGAAACCCTGCTCATCCGCAAAAATGTTTTTCAGTAAAACTTTTAGTTTCCTGTTACATGGATCATCTTTTCGCTTTGTTATTGAAAAAAAAATTAGTAGTATACCTTAAAAGCCCGTTGGAACTGACATAGGAAGCTGAAAGAGACTGACTTGTCCAAATTGTCAGGTCCACCTCTGCATCTCAACGGGTGTCAGGATGTAAATGTTCAATTTTTCTCATATCTAGAAAGGAAATGTATAGGTGAACGGGAAATTGCATCAAACTAGATAAGGAAGGAGGGCTGGGCAAATTTAATTCTCATTTAGCAAAACTTCCTGATTTGTTTTTGTTACTCAAAAGGTGACATCAGTGTTTGGGTCATGGTAGAAACTTAGGTGATGACAGCCACATCATTCATTGATTTTACTAAAATCACTGCCATTAAGAGAGCTTTTTGCCTCTTCATACTCAGTGTTTGAAAGGTATTCAACAATCGATTTCAGAAGCAAACCAATTAGGGAATGTTTATTAAACCTACGGTACAGTTGCCAGGACTTTTTATGGTACTGGTTTCTAACAATTTATGGGTATATAGGGTGTTTAAAAGATGGGAGAGATTGAAGAAAGAGACAAAGCTTTAAAGGTCAAGAAACATGAATGGTGCCTTGGCCTTAACTCCGAATTACATGAACTTCTGTCTTAGCTGAATAGGCCAGTGCCTAGTGCCTTGATATTTCTGCAACTCTTATTAGTGGCTCCTTAAGCATAGGGAACTTTCTACTTTATGCTCTGTCAACAGCATAATGTATTTATAGAACTAACATTCTCAAAGTAGGGTCTTGTTAAATTGACTTTTTCTTTGAGAAGCCAGCTACTTAAATTCTGTTAAAGCTATGAAAGATCCATCAAGTGCTGACTGCTTAAACTGAAGAAGGTGTCCAGGGCCTTAATTCTGCATACATTTCCTGTTGCTACAAAGTATGATGCTTGAACAGCCATCTCCGTGTATTTTATGTTTGAAAGGGGGGAATATGTGGTGTGTTTAAGAGAGCTGATGTGTTTTGGATGAGACTAAAGTAGATCCTTGGTTTCACATTAAGATGAACCTGAGACCATGTGTCTGCCTAAAGATATAAATTGGCATACTTGATAGGAAGATAAAGCCTTGTAGGAATTAGAAAAGATCATTCTCTCTTGTTGTTGCAGAATTGTTGCAGAAGCAGTATTGTGGGCCCTGGAGCCATGCTACTTGACGTCTTCCTTTATTTTATTATAAAAAGTAAATACAAAATGAGCTATGTTGACTGGGTTCATCTTGAACTCCTAGACTCAAGCAGTCCTCCTGCCTCAGCCTCCCAAAGTGCTGGGATTACAGGTGTGAGCCACCGCATCCAGCCTGCTTGGGTTTTTCTATCTTGGCTCTGTCACTTAGCTATGGGACCCTGGACAAGTTACTTCATCTCTCTGTGCCTCAGTTTTTTTCAAATGTAAAATGGGGATAATCGGATCTATCTTACAGGGTTTCAAAAATTAATAAGTTAATGCTCATAATACCTCATAGGTAATAAGCACTCAACTGTTAATGTAGAAGTGAATTCTGTGTATAAATCAGATACACTGTAGTCAATGATTTGTGTATATTTGTAAGAAAGGAGGAGAATGGATAATCTATTTTTAAGTGACCCTAACTGAATGCTGGGTTCTTTTATTCCTCTGTTTTTCTGTGGACACTCGGCAGTCAGGAAGCTTTGTTCTACCAACATAGTTTTGTTGCTGTGAATGTCTCACACCAACCTGGTGATTTTTCCAATTGCATCAAACAACTATTTTCAGGGAGGAGTAAGCTTGAGTGAAAACAGCCAAGGAGCAAAGTCCTTGTTGACATACAAATGCTTTCTGTGGGTGAGTAAAGAAAAAAGTAGCCTAGTCTGGGCGTGGTGGCTCACACCTGTAATCCCAGCACTTCGGGCAGATCACGAGGTCAGCAGTTCAAGACCAGCCTGGCCAACATGGTGAAACCCCTGTCTACTAAAAATACAAAAATTAGCTGGGTGTGGTGGCCTGTAATCCCATCTACTTGAGAGGATGAGGCAGGAGAATCACTTGAACCCAGGAGACGGAGGCTGCAGGGAGCCAAGACCGCGCCATTGCACTCCAGCCTGGGAAACAGAACAAGACTCCTCAAAAAAAAAAAAAAAAAAAAAAGCCTATAAAGTTATTTTTAGCTTGAATTACTTGGGCATGGAATGTTTAAACCATGCCCATTGATAGGTCCTGGACAAAAGCCTTCTCAATGCCAACCTAGGGCTACCACACAACCAAATGAGATGTAGTGTGACTAGAAGCAATGCCATGGTTTTAGTACCTAACCGTTTCTTGACCACTCTGGGAGGGACCTAGTTTCTTAATCAAATTCACCTTAGCTTTGGGCTGAAAACAAAAAAGCAAACAAACAAAAAAACTCCTGACTGCTGTGTAAAAGCCAGATTTTTTAATTTTTTTTTTTTTGAGACAGTCTCACTCTGTTGCCCAGGCTGGAGTGCAGTGGTGTGATCGTGGCTCACTGCAGCCTCCGCCTCCTAGGTTCAAGTGATTCTCCTGCCTCAGCCTCCTGAGTAGCTCTGACTACAGGTGCACACCACCACACCCGGCTAATTTTCTGTATTTTTGGTAGGGATGGGGTTTCACAAGGTTAGCCAGGATGGTCTCCGTCTCCTGACCTCGTGATCCACTTGCTTCAGCCTCCCAAAGTGCTGGGATTATAGGCGTGAGCCACCGCACCTGGTGTAGAAGCCGGATGTTTAAAGTGCTTTCTGACAACTAGTCCAAGAAGATCACATGAATAGGGAATAAAGGTGATAAATGTTAGTGATGTACTTTTTTTTTTTTTTTTTTTTTTTGCGACAGAGTCTCTGTCACCCAGTTTGGAATGCAATGGTGCAATCTCAGCTCACCGTAACCTCTGCCTCCCTGGTTCAAGCTATTCTCCTTCCTCAGCCTCCTGAGTAGCTGGAATTACAGGTACCTGCCACCACACCTGGCTAATTTTTGTATTTTTAGTAGAGATGGGGTTTCACCATGTTGGCCAGGCTGGTCTCAAACTCCTGACCTCAGGTGATCAGCCCACCTCAGCCTCCCAAAGTGCTGAAATTACAGGCGTGAGCTATCACGCCCGGCCCAGTATGTATTTCTCAACCATGACACTTCAACCCTGTCTTCCCTTTCAGAAACCATCATTTGTTCTTGGCAACAGGGACTTATGATGGAAAGCCTGAATTGCTCCTCCAAAGTGACTGGGTTTTCTCTACGGCACCAAATAACCTTTCCGTTCCTTCTACTCATCACTGATTGGATTTGGGAGTGTGAAAACAGAGGAAAGGGGTCGTTTAAGAACTTTGGTGGAAAGCGTCTCAGAATAAAGACGTAGGAAATATTAGGAACGAAATTAATAATTAGAAAACTGTTTCATGTTATCACTGGGTTAGTCTAAGTCTCTCTTACTGCAACTTACTAGGCATGATAACCTAGCTTCTCAGATCCTATGTGATGGGGTCGACAGGCTAATCCCACTGTGATATGGAGTTTGATGGACATTTATTTCCTTGTACTTTTTTTTTTAAAGTAGAGTTAGTTCAGTTCACTGAATAACCAAAGGATTTCTGATCTCTTGCCCTAAATATTTTATTCTTGTCCTGTTTGTGAATTTTTTATTCTTCTAGACTTCCTTTTATCCCAGCAGTCCCTGAAAGAAGACAGGAATGAAAAGAAACGCTGATCCAACCTTTCCGTGACTATGAAAGAGGCCATTACTACGAGGTGCAGGGCTCCGGTAGGGAGGGAGGCCTGCTTCCCAGGATTCCTGGCACTCTTTCCAGTAATGAGCAGTTTGTCTCTCAGCCTTTGAACCATTGTTCAAATTTAAAATTCGACCCAGTAGAAAGCCTTGGGAGGAAAAACACAGAAGCAGAGTTAGGAATCACTGTGATCTTAGCACATGCATTTGGAGATTTTCAGAAACAATTCTTAAGGGTAGGACAGGGAACAAATATGGACAAGCAGAAAGTGTGAAAAGATACGCACATCTAGCTGAATGCCTCCTTCCTGAGTCAAACAGTTTTTCCCAAAGCCTGCTACCACTGCCTCCTCCCCCAGTGGGAATGGGGGTTTTAACATAAAATCTCTCTCTAGCAATTGCTCCCTCCCAGAGGAATACAGCCTAAAGCATTTTTGCTGGACTACAGCCTGGGATTTATCTCAGGTCTCTGGAATCCTTCAGGCAGGGAAGGAGAAACCTCCAGGGACTGCATTCCTGAAAGGGTCTCTCCTCTCTCCCAGCCTCTCCTTTCTTCTCTCCAGACCAGCAGCAGCCCTACCACTGGATGCTGCCCACTTATGGGCAGGTGAGAAAGAGCATTGGCTATCAGCTTTTGGAAGCTGCAAGAAGAAGTGTTGGTACCCAGCACTGCCACTGAGGATCTCCAGCAGGTGATTTTTTTTTTTTTTGAGACGGAGTTTTGCTCTTGTTACCCAGGCTGGAGTGCAATGGCGCGATCTCGGCTCACCGCAACCTCCGCCTCCTGGGTTCAGGCAATTCTCCTGCCTCAGCCTCCCAAGTAGCTGGGACTACAGGCACGCGCCACCATGCCCAACTAATTTTTTGTATTTTTAGTAGAGACGGGGTTTCACCATGTTGACCAGGA